CAGACTTTCTTGTAGAAAGCACTCAAGAATCTAGTTCTCAAAGTTGCCATGTTGCAGGACTTTCCTACAGAGGGAAGCATCTTGAGGCCCAGCATAGAAGTGACTTTCCTTTCCTTCAAGGTATTCATCAGTGTGGTCTCCAGGCCAGAGCCCAGAGCAAAGACAAAACAAACAATACAAGCTCATCAACTCCAAACCACCCAGGAGCGGGTTAAGGAAGACAGAGAAAGTCAACTTCCTCAGAAAGGTAAATCAATCCATAAGTTACTGGAATAGCAAACAAATCCAGATTTGTGATGACTGTCTAGCCTTGGCCTCATGTACATCTTCTGTAGGAGAAGAGGCAAACAAAAAGTGTACAGGGATAATGCCCCACTCCTGGGGTAGGTAGAGGCAGCAGGTAAGGGATCCCAACACAGGAAGTGGAGGGGGACAGATCTGTCCTCCCTTCCTTACAGCTCTGTTGAAATCAGTGTCACCATCTCCAAAATCACAATGTCAGGCATGGTCACAGAAGTCCCAGCAGCCACAGGACCTAGAACTATCATTACCAGCTTAAGCTAACCAGCCCTGGTCAGCATCAAAAGCTGGAAGTCAGCTGCTGGACATCCTTCAAGAATGAGTCCTAAAGACTCATCCAGAAGGTCAGCAGCTCCTGACAATGGCTGAACACTTGAGACCTGCCTAAGTGCAGGACACTACTCAGCACTTCTGACAGCTTTTACTCCACGTGCGGAAGGAAGCCAGGATGGAGTTATGATGTCTGCAGGCCACAGTGATGAGCTACCTGAGTCAGCACACACACTACTGTACTAACAGGACAGAGCTGCTGAGTACCTGAACTACAAGATATTTCAGCAGCCCTGAGCATGGCCTGCAGGGAGACCATCCCTTCCAGACTTACCTCATCTTCTTCCTCAGGGATCTTGATGGAGCTGTCAGGGGACTTGACAGGTTTCTGGTTACTGGGCCCATTGGTCTCGTCTTTACCATGTTCCGCTTCCCATTCTTGTAAAACTTCATCTATGTTGAAGCGGCGCCGATAATTTACAAAAAAGTTTTTCACCTGAACGACTGACTTGTTCCCAATCACATCTGAGATTGCCTGAAAATCTCGTCCATATTTCCTGATGGCTAAGGACAGAAGAGAGTATTCTTAGAAATAATTCAGCATAGGAGAAAAACCATCTTTAAAGTTGTGTTTATTTATTTATTTTTGTGTCCGTGAGAACTCCCCACACTTCTGTCTGTGCACCACAGGTGTCCCTTGTGTCTGCAGAGCCCAGGTCAGATCTTGGAGAACTAGTTCCAAATGGTTGTAAGCTGCGTGTGGTGCTGGGAACTGCACCCGGTCCTCTGTGCTCTTCACCGTTTTTAGAAATCACAACTCAGGGTGGTGAAATGGCCGAATAGGGAAAGCACCTGCTGGTGCCATGAGTTGGATCCTTGGAACTCACCAAAAAAACCCAAACAACAACAACCAAACCAACCCACCCCAACTGCTGCTCACCTCTTTATCCTAGCAGCACACCGCAGGGCTCTTCAGCAGACACTCACTTACATGTTGTAGCGGCAGAGAAGCACGGCAGGCACCTCTCGCTTACAGACAACAGCACAAGTTCCCTAAAATCCTGCCCACCAGAAATCTTTCCTTCTTTTCTTCTTTTTTTTGGTTTCTCTGTGTAGCTTTGGTGCCTGTCCTGGATCTTGCTCTGTAGCCCAGGCTGGCCTCAAACTCACCGAGAACCACCTGACCCCTCCCACCCACCACCACACCTTTCTTAAAGCATGTCATTACTATACAAGTTGCTGAAGTTCCCATCAAGTCCCTCATGGCTGTGGACATTCTGCTTTGCCTTTTCAGAATCCTTAGTTTGAGAAACATCTCCTGTCTTAAAATGCTAATACTCAGCCAGGTGGTGGTGGTGCACACCTTTAACCCCAGCATTCCGGAGGCAGAGGCAGGTGGATCTCTGTGAGTTGGAGGCCAGCTTGGTCTACAGAGCAAGTTCCAGGACAGCCAGTGTTAGTTACACCGAGAAACCCTGTCTTGAAAACCCAAAAATAAATAAAGCTAATACTGTCTTTTGAGATTTGAACTTACCCGTTCAGAATGCAATAAGCAATTCTAAAATATAATACGTTCACATCCTTAGACAACTGTGGCTTTCAGGTTAATTTTTAAAAATGGGAAAGGGTTAGTTACATGGGCCTATAATTCTAGCCCTTGGGAGTTTGAGGCTGGAGGATTTAGAGTTCAAGGCCAGAAAAGCAAAAGGTGAGCCTTTGTCTCACAAACTAAAAACATGGGCTGAAGATGTTTCACAGTGGTACAGCATCTGCCTAGCACAGCCCTGGGTTCAAGCCTTACTAACAACACATGCATGAAGAAAGTACACACATCTAGGAGAAAGACATGGCTACAATACTGTAATCTTCCACATGAGTGAAGTGATAACAGGATGGACACAGCAGTTCCCTCACCTTTACCACAGTTCCCACGTGCTAAGGGAGCTCCCTCATACCTTGTACGGCGAGAAGCTGCTCTTCCGTAGTCCATCGGGCGTTGCATTTCTGAATGACCTAGAAAACCAAATGGATTGTCAATTTATTACATGTGTCTTTATGGCAGCTTAATGAACTTTTCATGTCTGGATTTTGGTATCAACTAGCTAGGTTCCTAAAATTCTGTCTCTATCTTTCTAAAACAAGGCATACTGGAGACACGTACCACATAGATATCAGAATTTTAAGCACATAAACTCAACCCTGATTCTGAGATAAACATAATCCTACCTCTGGAAGTCGGTAAGGCTCTATTCCACCATCAAGCTTTTCTTTAAGAGCACTGTTCGTTTGTTTAATGTTCTGAATCTAAGAGAGAAAGAGTTTCATTTTAAAAATAAAAGAAGACCAGAAAAGGTATCTTTGACGGAGAAAATCGCAATATTCCCACAAGCCCAACTGATCAAGTGCAGCATCTCTCTGTCTTCTCACAAATCATCTCTTCTCCTGTATTTTTGCTTGACTCAGCACACCTAGCTTTTCTATAAGCCACATTATTGTGATTTTCCCACAGATACCAGAATAAGACAGACAACAGTATGCCCTTGTCCTGGAACTCCAAGGACAGGGCATTTCCACACTGTATGATAGGATGATGGAACTCTGACTTTTAGCACGTTTCATTTTCAAAAAAACCACAGAAGCAGTAAGAATGCCAAGCAAAGAGCAGGATGATTTTGATAAATAAAGCAAAGATACTCGGGAGTAATAGATCTTCACTACCAGCAATGGAACATTCAAAGAGAGACTTTGGAGTAGAAAAGACAAGACACAACTTCTCTCCTTGTCCTGGAGACCAGCCCAAGACCTTACTCCACCACTACTACATAGTGACACACATGGGCATGCAGCCCTATTTTACTTTTAAGACCAGAGTCTTGTTGAGTTGCCTAGGCTAACTTGGAACTTGCAGTGTATCCTGCACTGACCTTGAACATGTTATCCTCCTGTCTCAGCCTCCTGAACAGTGGTAATTACGGTAGGTCTGTGTCATTGGGCTCTGCTTCCTATCCTGTCTGGTATGTATGACATGTGCGCGTGCTTGCACGTGGCGATCAGGAGACAGCGCTGTGCAGCTGCTGCTTCTCTCCTTCTGGCACGTGGGCTCTGGGAACTCAGGCAGGCGGGCTGGCTTAGGGGGCAAGCACCTGAGTGAACCTGAGCCACCTTACTAGCCCTTTTCTTTTTTGTCCTGTTTTCTCAAGACAGAGTTTCGCTATGTAGCCTTGGCAGGCCTGGAACTCATTCTGTAGACAAGGCTGGCCTCAAAGTCACAGAGATCCACCTACCTCTGCCTCCTGAGTGCTAGGAAATAAAGGCGTGCGCCACCACCTCTGGCATCTACATAATCTTTCAAAATTCCATTTTTGTCAAGTGCTTATGGGGTGGGTTGTTTTTTGAGACAGGGTCTTACTCTGTAGCCCAGGCTGGTCCCAAACTTGTGGCAATCTTGCTTCAGAGTCACAAGTTCGGGACTAGGAATAAAAGTTGGAGGCCAGCCCGAGATAGAGTAATCCTTGCCTTCAGAAAAAACAGCAGAGATGGGTAGAGAGGTGGAATCTAGGATTTAGAGTCAGAATTAGAACAAGTTAGTTGTCAATGTTTTATCAACTGAAAAGGAAACTAAGTAAGAATCAAGATATGGCTGTGTGTGGCATGTAAAGAAAAAACAAGCAATGTAACCCATGTGGCTGGCCCAGTACTCTACCAGGTAAATGCACCATTTGTTTCTACTTTATCTTGTTCACGGAGATCCCTCTCTCCTGTGAGACCATTCATTCTGCAAGTGGAGATCTCCTGCCACAGGCTTATCCACTGAGGAAGCAGACTCCCACCCAGTTCTCACTGTCTTCAAAGCTGCCCTGTTCCTGAAAACCAGGAGCAGAGCACAGGGTGCTGGCGAGCAGAGCCTGGGGCCTCTGGGAGAGGGCCTTTGTCTCCCTGCCTCCTTCTCCTTTTCCTACTGTCCTGAATATAGATTCGAGCATTACAAAATGGCTTCTGCAGCTTTCACAGGAGCAAAGAGCAAAAAGCTGAGACCCTAGGAGAGAGACTAAAACAAACTGGATCCCTAAGTATCTATCCCCGGACAATAGCAACCACGACAACCTGACAGTGGGACTCCTTGAACTGGTGTTAATCAGGTTTTCTGTCTCTGAGGTGTCTCCTTGATATACCAGCAAACACAGGGTTCCCAAAGCACCCATCTCTGTGACTGACTATCATTTTAACTCTAGAAGTGCAACTAAGTGCCTACCTCCTCACTCCCCTGTTGGGCTCTAAGCTCCCCCTCTGCCAGAGTGACAACCTGAGTGATTATCTCAAGTCATAAAGACCCTGGTCCTTGGCCGTTTGTTTCACGGCACAGGCAGAACCCTCAGCAGCCCTCCCACTGCAAGCTGCACTGACAATGCCCTGGCACAGCAACCCCGGCAGATCTGCAAGGATCAGCCTCAAGGATTAATCTCCTCATTTGAAAAGAGGTCTCTAGGAAGATTAAGTGACTCTCCTATGATCCGAGCATGGCTGCGCTGCAGCAGGCTACAGAGCTGTCTGCCTCTGGAAGGACGCTGGGCCCTAGCCTGTGCCTCCTTGAACCACAGCAAAGACAGAGCCATCAGTTCCACCCTGCTGGAGACCACCAGAAGGTCTGACCACCTCTGACGGCTGGTTTCCAGTCACTCAGGTTTAACTAGTCAAGAGGTGGGAGGAGAAAGGGGAAGGGAGGGAGAGAAGGGAGGGGAGGAGAGACACCCTAATGAAAGGCCACTCTAGACTGCGAGGCTGACTTTCCCACTTCAATGCCACTGTGCAATCAGATTAAGGTAATGAGCCCTTTCTACATAGCAGACACAAATAACCATACAAAGAATTCAAAAAAAAAAATCCATGAACTGGCTGCGTGGCTAGTGGTAGAGTACTTGCCTATGTGTGGGGTCTCAGGTACGACTCCCATCACTGACCCACTCCCACCAAAAAAAGCCTTGCACATCAAAAATGACACAACATAAAAAATTAGAGATCTGCAGAGGTGGAGGGACATATCCTCTCACCTCATCAGAAAACCCAATAAAGACATTAATTTGATAGCTATTAACAAAATCTTCATCAAAATTTTAGAAGAACTTTTTTTTTCTGAAAATTAAAAAGCGACAGTAATTTGATATGGAAGTAAAAAGGGCCAAGGACAATTAAGACCTAGGAGACTTTACTGCTACACATACAAATTCATAAAGCCCATGACATCAGGGTACTATGCATTTGTGAAGGATGAACTACAGAACAATAGAACAAAGAACATAAAATCAAACCAGTCAGTTTCTAAACACAAGGAAGAAACAACAGCCTTTTCAGTAAAAAGTACTTGGTGAAATAGATGCCATACTTAAACACGTGTAACACCACACCCAGGAAAACATTTCTAAGTAGACTGAAGATCAAAATACAAAGGCTGAAACAATGATGCTAAGATGATACTCAACATAGCTTCCTCCCCCAGGAAAGGGTTCTTTTAAAAAGATTTACTGAGTTTTATTTTGTGTATAGGTGTTTGGCCTGCACGTATGTCTGTGCCCCTGTGCCTGCCTGCTGTCTGTGTAGTCAGAAGACTCCCTAGATTCACTAGGTTCCTTTCCCAGGAACTCGAGTTACAGATGGTTGTGAGCTACCATGTGGGTACTGGGAATCAAACTCAAGTGCTGTGCAAGAATAAGTGCTCTTAACCCTTAGTCATCTCTCCAGCCCTTGGGGAAGGTTCTTACCAGGACTTAAAACCTACCAACCTGAGAGGAAGCATTGAGAAACTGTATTGCTTGAATGAATTTCAGAAAATGCCATTAAGAGAGTGGGAACACAGAGTGGTAAATGATCTAATGACAGGTAGGAAACAATTTACAACCTGAAAAAAGAACATTCAATAAGGAAATACAGAGATAGAGAGGCAGGAATATAGTGAGTTTGAGGCCAGCCTAAGCTTTGTGGGAAGACCCTGTATCAAATAAACACACGCATCCGAAAGAACACAATCCAGTAGAAAACCAAGGACAAAGACTGGGCAGACATACAACAAGAAGTGGACAGCCCAAGGGCCAACCAATAAGTGACAAGGCAAGCAATGTCAACAAAGCCCAAGGAGACCTCCTCACAATGCGTTAGAGAGAGGCCACAATGGAGACAACTACTGTCAACAGTGCAGAAGGACCATTATCAATGGAGACAACTGTGTCACCCCATATGAGGAGATTCAACAATGCCTGGGGATACTTCTGTTGTCACAACCAGTAGGCTGAAGGTGGTACATGGTGAGTAGGGTTAGAGGAGGCTGCCCCTGGAACACACAGGTTAGTCCAAAGTGTACTTACTGTAGGTGGGAAATGCTGGCACGGTACAACCAAAATACATATACACTGACAAGACTACTCTGGAAAACCCTGAACATATGACAATCTGTCAGTTCTATTCTTCGGGAATCCAACAGAGATGTGCTCTACAGACACATATGCATAATGCACCAGATACATAACATTCATGCTAATAGTTCATGTAATGGCCCCAAATGGAAACAACTCAAATGTCTACCACAGTACAATGTATTGCTAGTAGGCTATTTACATAGCAAAGAAAAAGAACAGATCAAAAGTAACTGCTTCATAAAACATGGGCACATCTCACACACTGAGAGAAAGCCATAAAAACAAACATTATCTTACGTTTATTTTTTGATAATACAAAAAGGAGACTGAAACAATCTGTGAGGGTTCTTTTGATGGTGGTGGAAACCACACCCGAGGCTTCCCACATGCTGAACAAGTGCTCTACCACTGACCACACCACAAGCCTCAGCCAGTTTAGCTCAGTGGTGAGCCCTTGCCTAGCACTGCTTCTGTGGGTTCGGTCCTCAGCTCCAGAAAAGAAAAAAAATCAAACCAAGGTAACTGGCACACAAAACCTATCCAGGGGGTGGTGGTGCACGCCTTTAATCCCAGCACTCGGGCAGCAGAGGCAGGCGGATCTCTGAGTTGGAGGCCAGCCTGGTCTACAGAGTGAAATTCAGGCAGCACAGCCAGGGCTACACAGAGAAACCCTGTCTCAAAACAAACAAAACAACAACAACAAAACAAAAACAAATCAGAATAGTGGCCCTCTCCTGGGAGGTGCGTCAGGAATGAGGGGCATAAATGGAGCTTCAGAGGCTTGAGAGGAATAGTGGTAAAGAGACACAAAAGGCCATGTTCCACTTCCTGGTCCAGACAGAGGTTACCTGAATGCGCTGATGTTGTAAAAAAGTATTGGTGTGTACACGCATACACACACACACACACACACACACTTACACACACACAGAGCAATTATTTTAATTTACATAAACAGCCGTATGCATTTCTCTCTATAAAAAAGGTAAATTTAAAAGAAATTTTTAGAGAGGAAGACCAATACCCAAGATGTTCTGCCCAGTTCCTTAGAAATAAAATGCTCTTGGTGATGGCAAGAGGGCTCGGCAGGTAAAAGCACTGTGTGAGCCTGGCAGCCTGAAATCAATCCCTGGACCCCATGAAAAGGCAGAAGTAAAAAATCAGCTCCATAGAGCTATCTTCAGACCCTCACAACACATCACAGCATACTCATCACCTCTCAGTATTAATACATACATATTTTGAAAAGAGAAATGAAATGTTCTTCTGACATCCTGGCTAAGCCTGAAGACCTGGGTAAGCGGTAAGGACACTGTGGTGTGCACGCTGACCTCTTGCCACACTGGGCTGGCAGGTACCTGTCGTTTGATGGAGACCAGCTCCATGTCCAGCTGTCTCAGCACCGTGGTTGCAGCAGTAGCATTAGCAGACACAGCCTCCACATCTTCTTGGGAAAGAAACATTCCTTTTGGAGGTTTCCTTTTGGCTCTGTTTTTAGCTTGTGTACTATGCTTTTCTTTTTTGACCTGAGGAACTGTCTCAGTAGGGGGCACCTGCATGATATACATATGATATACATATTTGGTAAATATTTCAAAACAAAAATGTCAAATGGATAGCAGTAAGCACGTGTCTTTACCATGGCCCCAGACAATCTGAAACAATCCCCATTCTTCTCTAAGCACCCTACGGGGAAGTTGAAAGATAACACCTGCCTGCAGACACTTCACACAACACTCTTTTCTTCTTCAACAGAAACTTTTCCATTCTACTTCTTCAGGCCTCTGACAGGAAGTGACACAAGGGGACAAAACAAGAGGACTGAGCTCTCTATGAGCTTTGTGACTGTGTAGCTGTCTACATGACATGCAGATAACTAAGTTGTTTGATCTCCACCAAGGCAGACTGCATGACACAGAACCCCTCTGGTGGGTATGGGATGATGGGGAGGGGGGAAGTCTGTAAATCTTTCCATTAAGAAATATAAACTTCAGCCAGGCGGCGGTGGCGCACGCCTTTAATCCCAGCACTTGGGAGACAAGAGCCAGGCGGATCTCTGTGAGTTCGAGGCCAGCCTGGTCTACAGAGTGAGTTCCAGGAAAGGCGCAAAGCTACACAGAGAAACCCTGTCTCCAAAACCAAAACAAAAATAAAAAAAACAAAACAACAACAAAAAAAAACCGGGCCCAACCTGAATTATAGCAGATCTTGTCTCAAAAAAAGGAAAAAAGAAAAGAGAAAAAAAGTAACAGCCAAGGATAAAGCTGAACATTTCAAAAGACCTTTTGCTTTATATTTTAAGACTAAAATAAAAAGATAATGAAAGGAACTGGAGAGATGGCTCAGAGGTTAAGAGCACTGGCTGTTTTCCAGAGGTCCTGAGTTCAATTCCCAGCCACCCACCACATGGGTGAGATCTGGTGCCCTCTTCTGGCATGTAGGCAGAACATTGTGTACATAATAAATAAAAAAGATAATAAAACAAGGATAACAGAAATTCCTTAGTTAATAACAAATAAATTATTGGTAACAAATAGTATCTATCAGTAGCCAATAAATATACTCTATGTAGCATTAATGCTATTTCATAAAGATTACCTACTGGTGATGTGTGTTTTAATAACATTTTACACATAAACTAAGACTTAACCTATTTTCTTTTTCAGTCAGAACTTGTGCCACGTAAAAAAGAATTACAAAAAATTACAAAGTCAAGCTTGTTCATTTAAAATGTGTTATTGAAAAACCTAATAAATAACAATACACCAAAATAAAACAAACCCCCAAGTACATGTCACTCTCCAAACAATCTTACTCCATTAACCCAAAGACTGTGTTATTCGGATACTTTTTTGACAGTGAGAAGAACATCATCCAAAAAGGAGGACTAACTCCACCTCGGTGAGTCTACCTAAAGAAGCTATAATATGCACACAGGAATACCTTGAGGCAACAATTCAACTTTCAGGAATTATTTTAATGGAAAAAATGTGTACAAATATTTAGACATGTGACCCGTTAATTCAGTATTGTTCACAGTAGTAAGGACTTAAGTAAGCTAGAAAGTTGCTTAAGATTAGTTAATTCTGAGAGGTTCATATGATGGAGCAGTACATGGTTATGTATAGAAGTATATTTAAAATAAGTTCCAAAAATTGTAAAAATTTCATTAAGGTATCACTTTACTATTTTTTAACTAAAAATTCTAAATTATGTACACAAATGAGCATTATATTTTACAGAGAAAGTTGTCTGTCTCAAAACCTACTAAGATGTAGCGGTGATTATGGGTAATGATGCTGTAGTTACTGTATGTAACTCCCTTCTTTCTGCCCAACTCCACTGCCTATTTTGCTATTTGAAAAAGTATGTAACACTGCTATAATTTTACAATTTTTTTTAGGCAGCCCAGAGCCTTTTGCTTTTCCAATGTTACATGCACTGATGTTTGCCATGGGTATCAGATCCCCTGGAATTGGAGTTACAGACAGTTGTGAGCTGCTATGTAGGTGCTGGAAATTGAACCCCGGTCCTCTGGAAGAGCAGTCAATGCTCTTAACCACTGAGCCATCTCTTCAGCCCCCTTGTTTTTCCATTCCCACCATTATAGGACAGAGAGCTAAGAAACCTGCCCTGTTTCTGAGTAATCAGCTCCTGCCCAAATGCTGGCAGCTTCTTGGGTCACTCAAGTCACTGCACAGCACTGTCCAAGCAGACCCTAGACAGTGGCAGTCAAACACACTGAGGAGTGAGCAGCCCTGCTGCCACTCTTACAGAAGATGAGCGAGCGTGGCCTTTCCCTAAGGGCTTCTTTCCACGTGACTCCAGACGAACATACTCTAAATTCCATGGCAAAGCAGGTGCTGTCTACAACGTTCCATCTGCACCTTTGGACTCAGCACTTAATACACTACTGTCCAAGAGGCAGGAGCTACTGGCAGAACTAGTAAAGACATTTACTGCCTACAGACATTCGGGAGAAAAATACCTCCTTTTTGCTGTCCTTGTTTGGATCAATCTCAATGTCAATGGGGTTACTTCCATTTGTTTCTTCCAGTTCATCCTCACTGGAAGATAAGAACAAGTTACTGAAAAGTTACTCTGCATTAACTCTATTTCACATAAAAGCATAACAAAATAGCCAGGCGAGGTGGTACATGTCTTTGATCCCATCACTCGGGAGACAGAGGCAGGCAGACCTCTTAAGTTCGAGGCCAGGCTGGTCTACAGAGCGAGTTCCATGACAGCCAGTGCTAAGAAACCAAAGCAAACCAAACAAAATTTATTCTAAAATTGTTCTATACATCTACAGACTGCTAGGACAAACATTTTTTATAATTCATATAATTCCACCTTTGTCGTTCTTTAAGGGCAGTGGTTCTCAACCTTTCTAATGCCGTGACCCTTTAATATGGTTCCTTGCTACTTCTTAAGAGAGATTTTGATACTGTTATCAATTATTATGTAAATATCTAATATGCAGGATGGTCTTAGGTGACCCCTGTCAAAGGGTCGTTTGCCCTGCGACCCACAGATTGAGAAGCACTGTTTTAGTCTAAGAACTAATAAGGTTTGCTTCTAACTGCCCAACCCAACTCTAAAATATTGTTCCTCTGTATTTGTCAAGGGTTCGCTTTCAATTCTCAGCTAAATTATCAAATGTAGAAAGCATCTACTTTTCCTCATAGTTATTTACTGGAGGGCCAGAAAAGCTCTCCTGACAAACCGACAAACTATGCAGACACGAACCTCCACTGCATGTGAACAGACTGGGCACAAGGAAAAATCCACACTCAACCTTTCTACTCATGGCCACAAAAGCCTGAGGCTTTAGCGGCTTGTGTAACTGATACTTTCAAATAAATACATTGACATGGCACTTCAAATGCTTTCGCCTGAGGTGGTAAGGACCTCCACCTTTAAAAACGAGGTAATTGAGTCTCTCAGAAGTCAAGCAGCGATCCTAATCCGCCCAGCTAAAACCAAGGAGCAGCAATGGGGGCAAACACAATGTCTTTAGTGCCAACTCACACTGTGTCTCGGGAATCCTTCCCAGGGGAGCCCACCCACCTCCATGTCACACTCCTCTCAAGCCACCACCATTTCCACTGCTCTCTGCCGCATACAAACTGAGGAAGCAAGAAGTAACACACATCCTTCCTTACTAGAGCTTAATGAGTCGTCCTTAAAACGAATATCCAGGCTGGGAGGTAGGCTCAGTGGTCGAGTCCTAGCAATGTGTAAAGTGCTAGGTTCAGCCCCCTAGCACTGCAAGTTGAGAGGGGAGGTAGTTGGTTATCTCAATCAAAACTAATAGCAACAGTGAACCAACACCCTTCTAAGAGACAATGAACTAATTCTCCATTACTCACACCAGACACAGACAGTCAAGGGAAGGAAGTGCTGGTCACTATCAACTTGTCAGGGTCTAGAATACCCAGGAGACAAGCTCCTAGGCATGCTTATGAGGGATACTCTAGATCAGGTTAGCTGAGGTGAAACTACGCACTGTAACTATGGTGACACCATCCGTGGGCTAACTAACAAGCCTCCTCTCACTCTGCTTTCTGACTCAGATGCGATGTGGTAAGCTGCCTGGAGCTCCAGCCACCATGACTGCCCTCTTCTTCCTTGAGCTGTTTCTGTTATAGCAACAAAGTAAGTAACTGATAGGAAAACCTACACTGTTTTTCTTCTTTGTAAAGAAAGCTAAACACAAACACATGTCAACTGACTTTCTGTTATCATCCTCAATAAATTCTGACCCTTGAGCCAACAACAAAGTCCCTTTTCATTAGAAGGTGTCACCCTGAAGGGGATGGAAGGAACACGTTCAAGTTCACTGACTGCGGGAGGACTAGATCTACGGAGGCTTTTCAGAGCTGGAAGCCTGCCACTCCAGCTCCCCTCTCTGTGCCCACAGCGCTGAGAACCCAGTCCCAGGACAGCCCTAGCAGCACACGCACCTCTCTTCCCTCTCCCGTTTTTGTTTCCGAGCATGACGATCCATCACGCTGGTTTTAGTTCTTGTTTTCTTCCAAGAGTAGTAAAACTTCACCAGACTTGCTATGGATTTATCAGGAAGCTAAATGCAAAAAACAGGTTGATGCAGACTGTGAAGCTAGTGTTTACTAATCAAATGTGCTTAAGACATATTTCATAAGGATCATTCTCCTATACTCTAAAATGTATGGAAGCCGGGTGGTGGTGGTGCACAGCTTTAATCCCAGCACTCAGGAGGCAGAGGCAGGTGGACCTCTGAGATTGAGGCCAGTATACATAGACAGTTCCAGAACAGTCAGAGCTACAGAGAAACCTTGTCTTGGAAAAACAAAGACAAAAACAAAAACAAAAAACCCATAAAATAAAAAGTATGGAAAGGGAAAAAAGTTCTCACAAAATGCATTTTCCTTTTTAAAATTTGTCTTATGCTTTATTATAAAAAAGTTGCAACTGAAAAACATCCCACACTGCAATGAACCAGACTCAAAGACTATACAACTCAATGAATTTATATGCAGTCAGAGCAGCCATTCAAAACTGAAGTTGTGGAGCTTCACATCAGATTTTATGGTTTCAATATCAAATATTTTATGCATCTATCCAGCATGATAAATGAAAAATCCATAACAGAGTCAGAACTACAATTAGCTTGTTTTGCATTTTCTTTCTTTCTTTTTTGATTTTTCCAGTCTCTGTGTAAATCAGGCTCCATCTGCCTCTGCCTTCAAATGCAGCCTAAAGGGGTGCACTACCACGTCCAGCCACTTTAAGCTAGCAAGACCCAGTTAAATGTCAGAGCGCTTGGCTGAAGTGGGTTCTGGAAACTCTCTTAACCACTGAGCCATCTTTTCCAGCTCCAGGTTGAACTTTCACAAATTCATTTTAACATTTTGTGCAAGTAAACTTGAACCTGGAGTCTATCAGTAGTTTTCTAAAGAGCAAAACATAAGCAAACCTTCCGCAGACAGACAAGGATTTGAGATATGTCTTCAAAAGCAATCATCAAAGATCCTTTCTGTTGGTGTAACCTGCATGTAGGTACAGACTATAAGCTCTGAGGAGAGAACGCTTCACGCTGTACTGGAAACCGCTGAGCCACAGAGCAGTTTTGCTAAAAGCAGTTTAGAAGGAACTTTATTCAAAAGGGGATACTTGGGGGCTGGAGAGGTAGCTCAGTGATTAAGAACTGGCTGCTCTTCCAAAAGGCCCTGGGTTCAATTCCCAGATCCCAGATGTCAGCTCACAAGTGTTTGTAATTCCTGTTCCAGGGATCTGATGCTCTCTTCTGGTTTCGGTGAGCACCAGACACACAAATGGGTAAGTCAACATACATGCAAGCAAAAACACCCACACACTTAAGACAAATAAACAAACAAACAAATGAGATGTCTCAAGTTGATGATAACTTTCTCTCACATATACTGGAAGATATAAAAAGCAAAAACAAAGCAGAACAAAAAAACCCTGCTTACCATTTGCTGGATTCTGTGAAAAGTTTTTCCATGAAAACTAAAGGCTTGTTCAAATAAGACTTTATCTTCTACAGTCCACTCATCTGGAAAGGGGGTGAAGTTGGGCAAATCGGCCAATGATTTTTCAATATTATGCTTATGCCAAAAGAGCATCCCAAGAGCCTAGAAAAATGTTATTGGCAAAATTTTAGAACAAACAAATAAATGAAACATTAAAATGGAAGTGAGATCAGCATGTTTAAAGCAGATAGGTGAGAAAACGCCTGCCTCATACACACTGTGAAGTTACAGGCATCAGCCCCATCCCAGTTTCTGTGATAAGATGCATGCAACATCTAGTCTATCATTCTAAGCTTCTAGCAGACAGCTCAATGGTACTGAGCACACGCACAATGCTGTATAATATCCGTGTCCAAGACTCATCATCTTATGAAATAAACATTGCCTGCTCAATAGCAGCTCTCTTCCCTCCAACTCCTCTGTTCCAAGACCCAGCAACCAACTGCCTAGGATTCTGGCTACTCTGAGTGAGTGCCTCAAAAAAGTGGAAAACTAGTGTTTGTCCTTCAAGATAGTCTCCCTATGAAGTCTGTGCTTGCTTCAAACTCTCAATCCTTCTGACTTGGTCTCCCAAGTGCTGGGACCACAGGTTTCTATTATTCCTTTTGGTTGCCACAGGGATCACATTAAACATTTTAAAGCTGTGAGATTTGGATTTGAATTTATGTAAATATAGTTTCAACCAAATACAAAAATTGAGCTTCTTTTACAGCCATCCCATCCCTTTCCATTGTAGAAATCACAGAATTCTATCTTTCTATATCATGTCAAAAAAAGGGAAGCTAACTTTGTTTTCAATGAATCACTTAGGCTACATGGAAAACTGCAGTTATAAACACTAAGGTATTAACATTGATACTGGCTTTACATATGTGTACACATGTGCATGCATGTCAAAGAATGCATGTGGATGACAGAGGACAACTGGCAGGAGTGGGTTTTCCCTTCCAGCATGTGGATCTAGAAACGGACTCCGGACCTTAGACCTGGTGACAGGTACCCTTTCTCCACTGAGCCATCTCACCAGCACACTTTGTTTCTAAAGGACAGGTTCCGACAGGTACAGATTTCTTCTTCCTCTTTCCTTTGTTTCTGTACCCCTGCCTGAGTGAACCCAGGATCCTGTGTATGTTAGGTCTGAGCTCCTTCCACTGAGTGAAATAGTTATCCAACTTAAACAGATCATTCTTGGTTGAAAGTTTTTGTTCTTCTCTTACCACTTCAAATACATCAGATCACTGTCTCTGGGACTCCAAAATTCCTGATGACAAATCTGATAACCTTACTGGTGATCCTTGCTTGTCACCAATGGCTTTTTCCTTGCATCTTTGGCTTTAGAGTGTTTCATACTGAATCTATGTGTGGGTGAGTTTATCTTCAAGTATATTGAGTTGTCTTTAGATGACTTATCAACTCCAGGAGGTTCTAAACTCCCCCCCTTCAAAAATCTCTCTCCATCGTCTCCTGAAGTTTCCAAATACTTACATTGTTCTCCTTGAGGATGTCCTTCAAACTCAGTAAATTAAAGTTTTCTTGGAATACTACTTTAGCATGCAGGATGTCCTGATCCTTCACCCTCCAGTACCACAAACAATAAAACAAATTGCCCTATGTTCAAATTCATTAATCTGCCTATTCAAAATGGCCTTTTTGAACATTTTAAAGATAGCTAAGTAGTGGGGATGCAGTTCAGTAATGGAGCATTTGCCTTGCATGTTCACGGTTCTAGGACTGTCACCAGCACCAGCGCTGTGTGTGTGTGTGTGTGTGTGTGTGTGTGTGTGTGTGTGTGTGTGTGTGTGTGTGTAAAACAGATTTGACATCAGGTCTTTTTGAGGAACAGTTTCTGTAGGTTTAATTTTCTTGTGTATCAATTTCTCAAAATTGAAGGTTCTATCCTAGAGGAAGCCTCCTTGAGATTCAAGTAAATAAAACTTAGAAGTTTCAGGAAGTTCCTAAGTTACAAGATTCACAAGCATCTCCGTTCCTTATTCCAGGTTATGTACACAATAAGGATTACAAGGGAGAGAAGACTGTGACCTGTCAAGCTGCCTGGGTAGTTAGTATGCAGGGAGCTCCAGCAATGCAGCTTTCATGAGTTGTCACTCATGCTGAGGTGGGCTTTTCAGTGATGCAACTGCCTTTGAATCACCTGTTATGATGCTTAGTTTTAAATGTCAACTTGACACAATCTAGACTCACCTGAGAAGAGAATCTCAATGAGAGATTTTTCTACACTGGGTTAGCCTATGGCTTGTCTGTGAGAGATTGTCTTAATTTAGTTACCCGATGTGGGAAAACCAAGCACACTGTGGGCAGTGCCAATCCCTAAGCAGGGGTCCTGAGTGGAGGAATCCAGCTGAGCATAAACCAGCAAACAAGATGAGTATGCACATGTTCATTTCTGTCTGATCCTTACTGTAAATAAGATGTGACTAGTTGTTTAAAGTTCCTACCTTGACTTCTCTACATGATGGACTGTTACCTAGAATTTTGAGCTAAAATAAAAGCTTTCCCTCCTCAGTTGGTTTCTGTCAAGATATATTATCACTGCAACAGAAATAAACCCAGCAAGTCCATGCTCCTGAACGGAGCCCAGCAAGCTCACTGGCTCACTGCACTAGGCTGGGTGGGAACTGTGGCTTTGCTCTGCCATTGCTGCTTTAACTGGGTGAAAAGACAAGTCCATGCTTCCCCAGGAAAACCCACAGGAGGCTTTGCATCCAGTGGCCATACTTCCCTACTTTGATGTATGCTTTGTGGTTTCTGTCAGAAACTGGACATCTGGATTTAATCATGCATTAGCAAGGGCGATCAGATGCTCGCTTCCTCTGTGGTGCTGTTTGTGCCATTTTTTCTAGTTGTGATCTGTGTGTGTGCCAAGGATCAACCTAAGGTGTGATTTCTTACATCTTTTCTGAGTCTATTTCTTTCCCTGGACATGTACAGCATCTTTCTTTGTTCCTTTCGCTGTCTTAATCTTTAATGTCTGCCTCTCAGAAAAGAACAGTGAAGAGAGCAAGACGGTGAGGGCACTGGCCCTTTTACTTCCTCAAACCACTTCAGCTGGGAGAGGAGCATGACAGCAGAGGAGGTTCAGACCATGGCCGCTGGCCTCTGCCCTACCTATGTGATCACAACAGTAACCAGCCATATGTCAGAGAACAAGTGTTCATCACAGATTTTCAACATGGGAGACAGGGTGTGTTTTTGTGGGCCCTAGTTCCTACAAGCTCCATGCAAGTTGCTGCCAGAAGACATGTGCAGGTGCTTAAAGCCGAGCTACAGGTGTGGACAGCTACCATCACCTTTCTGTGGGGGCAGAATATCGAAGCTTTAGGTCTTTGGACCAAATGTGCCCCAGCTATACCACAGGCGCCTCCAGCTCCGCTGTAGCGGACACACTGCTGCTAACTTGTTATATGTTGTTTGCGCTCACTGAGAAACTAGCTCTAGAAGCCAGTCTGTGTGGTCCCCCACCCATGTTAGACTCTAGTATGTTCACCTGAAGATGTCTTATGACTCTAGTCTGGAAATGGGCTGGAGATGCTCCTTACTCTAAGACGGGGAGGGAACAGCAAAGAGCCCAAGACAAAACCACTATGTCTGAGAACAGCTAGAGGGCAAACCATTTCCAAAGATCACTATCATTTATCCCACCACATAAAAGTGCCTGGAGTGAGAAAGAAAAGCTGGAAGTCCAGCTCAATTGAGAACTCTAGCTGACTACCTCAAATTACCCAGTCAGTTTCTACTGGATACTGTAAGCAACAAGTCTGAGCATAGGATCATACATCATTATACAACCAGATATAAGACAGTATACAACCAGGACCAGAAACCAATCCTGGCAACCCCTACCGTGTGCCCACCCAGTGAGACACTGACACACAGAAGAAAGCACCGAGGGTGCGGGGCAGACATGCGGTTACCTGCTCCATGTTGTACCCGTGCTTCTCTTTGGCGATAGCGATGTACTCGTCCACTGAAACACAGAGGACACCAGTGAGCGGCCTGAGTACAGCAAGACTATACTTACCAGAGCCGACGAATCTCCTTCAGAACCTATCATGTTCAAGTGGAAATGAAAGACAGCATCACAGAATACGACCCTAGTGTGGATCTAAATCTCCCAGAGAAAAAAACCAAATGAATATACACAAATATTAACCTATTTCCACAGGGTGAGACTATACACATTTTCTGCTTCTACTTGCATCTCCCAGGATTTAAAAACTTATTTAGTGTAAAAGGAAATAGTATAGGCTGAAGAGACAGCTCAGTAGTTAACAGTACCAGCTACTCTTCCAGAGGAACTGAGTTTGATTCTCAGCACCCAGATGGCTAACAACTATAACTCCAACTTGGGGACAGTAGGGATCTGGTTCCCTCTTCTGGCCTCTGCTGTAATCCCCACATAGATGGAACACACACCACACACACCCACACACCTACACACTCAATAAATACTTTGTAATTTAAACATAAAAATTAAATTAAACATAAAAATTAAAAACCATTACAGCTCCTCTTTTTTGTTTGTCTCAGAGAGTATCTCTCACTACATAGATTAAACTGCCTCTGATAAAGCCAGCTCTCACCGTCACTTTAAGACAGTCATCTTGGTGTGTCTGCCAGTGCTTTGGAGCTTGTGATGACTAAGTTAACTGTGGAGCCTTGACACCCAAAGAGCCTGCTCTGCGCCAGTCTCTACACATTTCTAACCATTAGCCTCGAAATCCAAAAAAGCTGAGACAGTTTGCTAAGTTAATACCAGTGGTATCTGTTCCAAAAGGTAAATGCAGCCTAAGTCAGGTGTGCTCACAAAGCTCTGCCTCTACTGATACTGTTTGCTTGCAACAGGGTCGAGGCTGGCCTTCAACTTTTGGCAACAGCTCTATAGCAGTGTCTAACCCCGCAATATGTTACTTTAATGCTTCTTTAGCAACTTTTGTGTTCCTAGCATTTCATAAAAATTATAGGTTACTACCATTTGGACTTACCTCCAGGAGTGGTGCCCAAAAAGCTGGGCTTTAAAAAATTAAATAAGCAGGCAGTGGTGGCATATACCTTTAATCCTAGCACTCAGGAGGCAAAGGCAGTCAGATCTCTGTGAGTTCAAGGCCATCCTGGTCTACAGAGTGAATTCCAGGACAGCTAGTACTAAAACCCTGTCTGAACATTCTCTCCCCACCCCCCCCACCCCCGAAAAGCTAAAATAGGGGCTTGGTGAGGTGGTCCCTGGGTCCACATGGTAGGAGTAGAGAATCAACCGTAGCAAGTCATCCTCTGACCTCCACACTTGAAGAGTGTAAAACATACACTCCCAAAATGAAAATGAAAATGGAGCTGTGCAAGGTAGTGCGTCTAGTGAGCAGCCAAATTTCCAGTGCTAACTACCACGAGAATGAAGTCCCTCTGCTTTCTTGTTCACCCAACTGAAACGCTCTGGGGTTAACTAATCGGTTTTTTTTACTATTCTGCCTCTCTGTGCTCTTACCAGTAAACCAACCTCCTTTCTGCTGTTTCTGCTTCACTCAAGCCTTCCTCTCTCTATACAGCCCATTAAAAAAATACACACAGTCAAAACTGCTTTTGCCTTGTTGACTTTCTTTCTTTTCTTTCTTCTTACTTTATTTGTTTGTTTGTTTGTGATGGTTATTTATTTATTTGTGATGGTCTCTCTCTATGTAGTCCTGGCTGTCCCGGAACTTACTATGTAAACCAGGCTGGCCTCAAACTCAGAGATCCCAATTGTGATTTTGCTCTTAATACCAAGTATCAACTTTACCTAGCAAAGTCAGGTCACCTGAGAACACAGCCCATGGGCGGGCATCTATTCTTTTCTTGAAATGTTCTCTAGACAGAGCTAATTGTACAAATACTACTTTTGACAGGCCTCATTTCTTTGTGCTCTCCTACCCTACCTGGTCCTTACTCCTCTCTGATGTTCTGAGAGATGGACAACTACACCCACCCCATTCTGCACAGGACAGCAGACAAAGTGATGAAACAGGAGGTTTGCATGATTCAAAAATTCCCTCAGGGTTAACTTAAGTGAAAATAAACAATAACAGCTGCTTAAAGGAGATGAAATGCAACAAGAGAAACAAGTTTCCCTACACTCCAAAAGACAAGGGCTCTGAGGACTTTTCCAATACTTTTTTTTTTTGGAGACAGTTTGTGTGTAACAGTTCTGGCTGTCAAAGTGATTTGTTTGTTTGTTTGTTTGTTTTTTGAGACAGGTTTTCTCTGTGTAGCCCTGATTGTCCTAGAACTCCCTCCATAGACCAGGCAGGCCTGGAACTCACAGAGATCCACCCGCCTCTGCCTCCTGAGGGCTGGGATTAAAGGCATATAGCACAGACATACTTCTGTGTCTCGGTCATAATTATCTTGATTCTGCCCAAAGCTTACAGAGAGCTCATCTCAGTGTGGGAATAGAGTCCTGTGCAGAGGCTCACTGGGGGAACCAGGACAGGACTGTTAACAAAGGTCACAAAGCTTAAGCAAACAATTCCCTGCTGTGGGCACACATACTACTAGCTTTCCCCAGGCATCCTGCTCACTCTTGAGAGAAGAGGCTGCCTTTGATTGCCATACTGACACCAACCCTCAGGTCAGAAGCACTAGAAACAGCCAGTGGGTGGACTCATCCTGTCTAAAATAAAGCAACCATAGCACAGTGCAATTATTGTTTACTTGACAGTTACTATCAAAACAAACATGAAAAGCCATCTAATATTAGTTGTGTGGTTACAGATATGCACCACTGTGATTGTAAAACATAAACTATATTCATCCATGGCTTTTTAGGGGCTGGGGTATTCACTTATTTTGCTGTAGCCTGAAAACAGCCATGATTGAAGGAATTTGATAGAAGAGCAAGTAAGAGAAGAAAATACCGGGTGTTAAGATTTGTTTCTATACTAATGTTTTGAATCCAATGAAACAATGTCCTTAGTATGAGTAGTAAGAGTTTCAAATTCAACTGCAAAAGACAAAGTATGCAGTTGAAAACTGCTATGGTAACCTTAATTCACCCTTCCCCTCCCAAGACACTGCAGAGATTCAGAAGGCCCAATCCTGAATATTCTATCAAGAGTGGTAGGCTGACACCATGAGGCA